TATAAATTATAACTCAGAGTTTGCTCTAACTGGAGACAAGGGAGCTTGATTTTCATGTGCCTGCACCAGTCAGCCATTGACTAAATCCCCAACCCCCACCCTGGGCAAACATAACCTCAGGCACTGCTGGCTCCACGAGTCAGGATCAAGAAGCTCTAGTGGCCAAAAAGATGGTGTCTTTAAAAGAGGCACAGGTGTGGAACATTAGTAGCAAGGCACAGAGAAGTGCTAGTAACCCCAAAGCCGCTTCCCGACAGTCACAGGTGTAGACCATTAGAAGCAGAAGCCCGCAGAAGCTGACAGAGGGCTGCACAGAAATAGTTAAAGGGATTCTCAGAGGGATACGGGTAGGATGCTGATAATGTCTACTAATATGGAAATCATTTTTTGTCTTTGATCTTGGCTTCTTGGCTTTCCCTTTTCCCCAATACACCAGCTTCCTTCACGAGTCAGGGAACATGGGTGCCAATTGCTCTTAAGTATCATATCCTGTAGCTATCGCTACTAAACTGGGATCAACTCTAGCCTTGGGGACAGGGTGAGAAAAAACATGGTGGTCCTACAAGAGATGCATTTGATGTAAAGGAAGAAGCAGTTCCTAAGAAGGGCTGTGATGTGACTGAAGAAGGCGAATATGCTAGAGAGACAAGAGACCATTTGTTTGGGGGATGGGGTTGTCGTGGCCAGCGTAATGGGTTTACTCCCCAAAGGACTTATCGATGCCCTACAGAGGCATCCTATTTAAGATTACATCCTAACTATGGCAGGGGGTTGCAGGTGGCAGTCTCTGGCACAAAACGAAACATGAAAGCAGAGATTGTAGATTGTTTTGAAAAAACTCTCAAAAGGGCACCCTATTGGGACAGATATAAACATGAATTCATATTAATTTAGAATAGATATTACATGAACATAAATTCAGCATTCAGTCATTTATTCTATTGGGTCCTTAGGCATGGACTTCCCTGTTAGATACAAAAGGGATTTCAAATGTTGGAAATATACAGCTGGAAGGGAATTGGACCATTTAAACCATCTAAATTTATCCCTTAGCATGATTTTTCTTTGTGAGACTACAGATGCTTAATAACTGTTTAATCTGAACAGAGCTCCACCACTAGTATCTCAGAGGTGAGATACCCACTTTTATTTCTCCAGTTTAAAAAGATGCCATCTTTGCTCATTTAACATCCTTTTCAACCTATATTCCCACTTCTGTTTATCAAGCATTTTTAGCGTAACATGCTCCGATATTAGCACAGCCTTGTGTGAGTATTTCAGTGTGCCGAGGAACAGCGTTGTTATCAAGCATCAGCAGCTGCTGTTTATTGGTGATAAATGAGTTTTTTCCATCGAGAGCAATTTCTCTGGTTTTTAGTCTATTATCTAGGTAGAAATGAAGGATATAATATATCCTTAAAGTGGTATTCACACAGCTTTCCAGTTAATGAAGCATTGAGGAGAGGGGTAGTGGAGAGAGACACAGAGAGGGAGAGCGAGAGTGGGAAAGGGAGGGAGAGTGGGGGCAAAGAGAGACACACATGCACAGAGACAGAGAGGCAGAGAGAGACAGAGGCAAAGACACACATACACGCGTGCGCGCGTGCGCGCGGGCATGCACACACGGGTACAGAGAGAAGTGCAGAGAGAGGGGGAGAGCACAAAACAGGCAGAATCTGAAAATACTGTGGATCCCCACTGGGCATCTATCTCCGGGGCTTTGCTGTGCTATATTCTGTAAAGAAATACTACCTGACAGTGCCAGGTAGCGAATCATTAGTATTTATGATGAACAAGTTTCCAACATTGTATTTCATAGTAAGATGGGTGCTTCTGCTGTTGTTTGGAGTTAGTCTCCCTGGCATTGACAGCAGAGGCTTAATTCAGTGAGTAAATTTGAGTAATTTCATAGCTATATGTTGGCGGAGATAGCACTGTGTTTACCTCTGTGGAACATCGAATCGAGGGAATTAAGTGGAAACAGTTCGTAAGCCTGGGCATTTGGATACACTCCGTGCAGGGCAGAAAGTCTTAACCTGTGGAAGGAATGAGTTGAGGGAAGATGGAGTAGTGTGAAGGCTGGCTGCTAGGAGTTGTTCTAGGATTTTAGGTTTTATTTAGGGCAGGACACTAATTCCGATCACTTCAACAAACATTTCTTGAGTATGTCCCATATGCCAGGCCCCATGCTACACGCTAGGGATTCCAAGGTAAGTCATAGTTCCTGCTGTCAGCAATGTTAATCTATTATTTCAAATCATTGTGGTGCATCTTCTGGTAGAACTGAACTCACCATGTCATGGAAATACAAAAGAGAGTTACCTCATGCCTTCTGGGTGCTGAATGTAGGCAAGGAACACTTGTAGTTCAAAATATAGCAAACATGGGGAGGTTGACTGGTCAGCATAGGCTACATGGAGGCCACAAACCCAAGATCTGAGTTGCCCGGCCTGAAGGATAGATCCCGTATGGTTATCCTTAGTTGTTATCCTTAATGCTGGTCAAGGCAATGCTTATCCCGAAAACACTAGCCTACAGTACTTACCCTTAATACTGGTCAACATAATGCTTATCCTTACTGTTATTCTAAGTGCTGGTCAAAAATGGTTATCTTCAGTCATGGTGCACAATGGTTATCACTAATACTGGTCAGCAACAGTTATCCTTAATGCCCATCCTTAATGATTATATTTGATGCTGGTCACCAACTACTGATGGCTTGTTCTACTTCCTGGTTAGACGATAGGTATGCATTTCCTGGCCCCCTTATAGATGGGTGGTCTCATGTGACTAGTTCTGGCCAGGGCATTATGACTAGGGGTGATGTGTGCCACGTTCAAACCAGAGGAGCATTTAATCCCTGGAGCGAGAGCCTTCCCTCTGGGACAGTGAGCTGCAGCATCTGGGGTAGGAGTTGCTCCATTACCGTGAATATGATGAGCAGAGTAGACCTGTAGCCTTGCAGTACATATGTAACATGAAGCAGAAATAAACACGTTTAATTTTAAGCCACTGAGATTTGAGTGCTATTTGTTTCTGAAGCAGAACATATCCTATCTTGACTGATCGGGGCACAATGGCTCTCAGCCCTGGTTACTCACTGGACTCACCAAGGGAGCCCAGAGCAGATGTGAATATACATGTTCTACTGCAACTCAGTTGGAATAGCATCCAGAGGTCTGAGTCCTGGATATCATTATTTTTTAAGTTGAGTCTTAATGAATTAAAAAAAAAAACTCAAATAATGAGTGACTAGAACGTAAACTTCACAAGGGCAAGGACATTGTCTTGGTTGCTGCTCTACACCCAGTGCTTGGAATGCTATCTGGCATGTGGCAGACATGCAGTAAATAGTCGTTACGTGAATTAGTAAGTGAAGAAATGAATAAATATCATCATGCCTAGTTTATTTAATTTTCTTACACCAGGGTCTGCATCCTGATCCCTATGCCATCTACTCAAACCAAAGCCATTACCCGGGGTCCTTTTCAGGATGCTTTGCCTTGGTTACTTCGCTAACCTTCTACCTGGATTTCTGCATATGTGTCCGCCCCCCTCTGTTCTGAGCCTTGTTTATATTGAGGGCCAAATTAAAAGAAAAAAATGCTCTCTTTTATCCCATTGTTACCTCTCCCATCATCTTATTCATCTTGACTGCTAGTCCATCTCTGATCACACGTGTGAAAAAGGAAAAGAAAATGATACTTTTGACAATCTTCAACACCTAGCTGAGCTTCCCTTTCCACAAAAACCTTTCCCCGGGCTTCCCAAATCACAGTGAACTTTTAATTTTCTGAATTCCCAAAGAAACTTTTGTGACCTGAACTAATTATTTTGGCACTGGGGTTGTGTTTGATTGTGTGTCTGGATGTGTGGATAAGTTCACTGAAAACTTAAGAGTTCCCTAGTCATTACTGTATATCCTCCGTAGTGCTTAGCGGTAAAGGAGAGTTGATATTCAATACTTTATTTTTACTCAATAAATACTTGAATGAGCACATATTATTACATTAAGGTATATGTTATATTAAATATGTGATACTTGACTGACAGACTGAATAAGAAAATAAATTATGTTGTATATGTATGTATATACATTTACATATATATGTACATGACACATGCCTTTATTACATTCATCAATTGGAAATTTATGGTTTATATCAAGACCATAATTACAGTGAAATGATTTAAATCTTGAAGCTCATGTTAGAGTATTTAATCACTTATAAAAATTAAGAGTTTCCAAATTCACATATCCATCATGTTCTGTAGCATCTCACCATTACTGCTGGTTATGAATTTTAAGCAATGCTCCTAGCGAGACTAATGCCTGAAGTGTCAAACATTATCAAATATTGCCTAGTTGCATAACTCTGCTAAACACTTACAGGAAAGAGCTGCAGGTGCAGTGCTATTAGAGAATGGTTAGTGTTAATGAATTTTTCCACCAGAAATATAAGTGCATAAATCTGGCCCACAGCCAATCACTTCTTCCATTCCAGTAAGGGATATTGTGCTCTAAACCAAGTGAGGGAATCTGTATAAGATCATTGGTTTTAAGATCTTTCTTAAAACTTATTTTTGCCATTTAACATAGCAGTTGTATTAACATATTTTTAATTTTAAAGAATATTCTTTTTCTGAATAAATTGTAAACTTGAGAGAAAAAATAGTAAATTTCTTGCAAGCAAGGATAAAATTGTCTTGGTCATGTAGACCATGCTTGAAGAATTATGTTCATTAATTCTTTGTTGATCTGATCCTTTATTAAATTGAATTAAATAAATAAGGTTAAATGTGCATGCAGCATTGATTATACAGTGTCTATTATAAAACAGAGTTTCATTAAATCAGATTGTTTTTTCTCATATCACAGACTTCTTGAACAGTCTGGTGAAATCCCCTTCTCAGAATCAATGTTTTTAAATGCATGAGATAATGATACAAGCGGGTCCTGGCTTTGTCTGTGGAGACTGATTACACCTTCCCACTTGCAGAAAAGGTCAAGGCCTTCTTGGCTGATCCATCTGCATTCGTGGCCACTGCCCCCGTGGCCGCTGCCCCCACTTCTGCACCTGCTGCCGCCGTGGCCCCAGCCAAGGTTGAAGCAAAGGAGGAGTCGGACGAGGATATGGGATTTGGTCTCTTTGACTAATCACCAAAAAGCAACCAATTCAGCCAAGTTTATTTGTGAAACAAGGAAATCAAGGCTTACTTCTCTTAAAAAAAAATAAAATAAATGCATGAGATAAAATGCATAGAATTTGATGGTATCAAGTTTATGGATGCCTTGAATTCTGTCCATGGATCCCTTAGTCGATGGACTTTGAGTTAGGAATCCCTGCACTGGGGGCATGAAAGTCCAATGAAATGTATGGATCATAATTGATAAATAACTGTTGCTACCATGTGTACACATTCCATGGAGAAGTCCATGTAATTTACTTGTAATAAAAATCTTAGAGTGGAATCAGCTTTCCTAAAAGTGTCAATAATATTAAATAACTTTATTATGAAATGTACATGTTTTGACACAAGTAAATGAGAGTATAACCAATGAATAAATGATTTGCATCGATTTTTATGGGAAAAAGAAAACTCACCATAGATATTCCTCCCTGAAGACACATTCAGTCTTTTTATGTGTCACACACAAAATAAACAGAAAAGATAAAGATGTATTTGTAACTACTGATATATAATTGATATTTTTATTATATGGGGTTTCTATGTGTCTATGTGTTTGAAAAGATTCCCTGGTAACTCAATGGATATATTGGCATGACTCAACCTAAAAACTGCTAACCAGTTATAATTCATGATTGCTAGCTTAAGTTAGCCATTATTTATAGTAATCATCTATCAACAGTATAGGGCATGATATTTGTATGGCTATATCTGGGTGTACATGCACACGCATGCACATGCACACACACACACACACACACAGAGGTACACACACACTGGAGGCAGTGTTGCATAATGGAATGAAGCTGGGCTTGAAATCAGATGCATGTGGCTTTGAATCCTGTCTCTTCCGCTTAGTGCTTTTGTGACCTTCGGGGCTTCCCTTTCTCACTTCTTTCCTCTTTTGCTTCATTCAGAAACATTCAGAAATAGTAGCTGGGCATGCCGTGAGTAGACAGACTTAGGTGAAACCTGTCTCTCTCGGCCACAATCTGTTCATATTTAAAACAGGGAGCATTTATTTTATAAGATTGAGAGGAGGCATATAATGAGAGCACAAACTGAGAAACATTTTATGGAATTTTGGACACATAACAGTCTCTCCAAGGAAAACCTTTATGGAAAAAAAGAGTCATTAAAAGGACATTGGGAGGGTGGCATTGGAGGAAGGGGGAGTCAAAAGGCACGAACTGCCAATTAAAAGATAAAGAAGTTCTGGCTTTCTGCCCGTGGACGCCGCCGAGTAAGCATCGTTAAAGGCTCCCCTCCCACCGCCGTCATGTCTAAGTCAGAGTCTCCCAAAGAGCCTGAACAGCTGCGGAAGCTCTTCATCGGAGGTTTGAGCTTTGAAACAACCGATGAGAGTCTGAGGAGCCATTTGGAGCAATGGGGAACGCTTACGGACTGTGTGGTAATGAGAGATCCAAACACCGAGCGCTCCAGAGGCTTTGGGTTTGTCACGTGTGCCACTGTGGAGGAGGTGGATGCAGCCGTGAACGCAAGGCCACACAAGGTGGATGGAAGAGCTGTGGAACCAAAGAGGGCTGTCTCAAGAGAAGATTCTCAAAGACCTGGTGCCCACTTAACTGTGAAAAAGATTTTTGTTGGTGGCATTAAAGAAGACACTGAAGAACATCACCTAAGAGATTATTTTGAACAGTATGGGAAAATTGAAGTGATCGAGATCATGACTGACCGAGGCAGTGGCAAAAAGAGAGGTTTTGCTTTTGTAACATTTGATGACCATGACTCTGTAGACAAGATTGTCATTCAAAAATACCATACTGTGAATGGCCACAACTGTGAAGTAAGGAAAGCCCTATCTAAGCAAGAGATGGCTAGTGCGTCATCCAGCCAAAGAGGTTGGAGTGGTTCTGGAAACTTTGGTGGTGGTGGTGGAGGTGGTTTTGGTGGGAATGACAACTTTGGTCATGGAGGGAACTTCAGTGGTCGAGGCGGCTTTGGTGGCAGTCGAGGTGGTGGTGGATATGGTGGCAGTGGGGATGGCCATAACGGATTTGGTAATGATGGAAGCAACTTTGGAGGTGGTGGAAGCTATAATGATTTTGGCAATTACAACAATCAATCCTCAAATTTTGGACCCATGAAAGGAGGAAATTTTGGAGGCAGAAGCTCTGGCCCCTATGGTGGTGGAGGCCAATACTTTGCCAAACCACGAAACCAAGGTGGCTATGGTGGTTCCAGCAGCAGCAGTAGCTATGGCAGTGGCAGAAGGTTTTAATTACTGCCAGGAAACAAAGCTTAGCAGGAGAGGAGAGCCAGAGAAGTGACAGGGAAGCTACAGGTTACAAAGATTTGTGAACTCAGCCAAGCACAGTGGTGGCAGGGCCTAGCTGCTACAAAGAAGACATGTTTTAGACAATACTCATGGGTATGCGCAAAAAACTTGAGGACTGTATTTGTGACTAATTGTATAACAGGTTATTTTAGTTTCTGTTCTGTGGAAAGTGTAAAGCATTCCAACAAAGGGTTTTAATGTAGATTTTTTTTTTTTTGCACCCATGCTGTTGATTGCTAAATGTAATAGTCTGATCATGACGCTGAATAAATGTGTATTAAAAAAAAAGATAAAGAAGTTCTGGGCATATAATATGTGGCATGATGACCACAGCTAACACTGCCATAGGATATATAGGAAAGCTGTTAAGAGAGTAAATCCTAAGAGTTCTCATTACAAGGAGAAATTTTTCCCCCTTTTTTCTTTTCTTCTTTTTAAAATTTTTATTGCAGCTATATGAGAAGCTGAGGGTTAGCTGAAGCTACTGTGGTAGTCATTTCACAATATATGTAAATCAAACCCTCATGCTGTATGCCTTAAATGTACACCGTGATGTATGTTCATTATTTCTCAATAGAATTGGAAAAAAAATTAAATACAATAATGTATTTTTAAAAAAGAAATTGGATGCAGTATGAAATGGCTCTCCCATAAGATCGTGGTGTCTTTTGATTGCCTTGCTCTAGCAAAAGAGCTCAAGGCCTACTCACCCAGTACTTGGCATCCTTGCCATAGCTGGTAAAGCTCACCGGAACTAAGAAGATGTAACTAACACTGATTTAAAATAATGATGGCTAACATAAATAATACATATTAAAAAATGTAAGTCTCGACCAAGGATTCCTAGATGTAACCACGAATCACCACGTGATTGCTGAGCCACATTCCCAGAGCTTTGGCTCTTGTCCAGAAATTTGTACTTCTAACAAGTCCTAAGTAGTGCCGATTGGCTTTTCCATAAGTCAAGGACCACACTTTGAGGTCTAGACTTGGCCTTGTTACTAATAGCAGTGTCACAAAAGTTCTACTGGAGTCCAGAGTCTTGCAGTTGGCCAAGGGGCCACAGAACATTACTCGAGAGCCCCCATTTTAAAAGGAATGAAGAAGAAAGCAAGTATGGTAGACAGAATAATGGCCCCCAAAGAGGCCCATTGTCCTAATCTCTGGAGTCTATGGATAAGTCCCATACTATCTTACGTGACAAAAGGGACTTTGTAGATGTGATTAATTTAAGGACGTTGGCTTGGGAAGATTATCATGGATTATCTGGGTGGACCCAATGGAATCATAAGGGTTCTGATAAGGGAAAGAGAGAGAGAGAGAGAGAGAGAGAGAGAGAGAGAGAGAGAGGAGTCAGAGATAGAGAAGGAGATGTGATTACAGGAGCAGAGGAGAAAGAAATTAACAATGAAGAACCCGTTGAAATAATGTGATGAAAGGATACAAGTAACCTCCAGGCACTGGAAAAAGCAAAGAATACAAATTTTCCCCTAGAACCCTCCAAAAAAAAAAAATGCAGCCCTGTCGACACCTTATTTTAACTCACTGGGGCCCCTTTCAGACTTCTGAACCCTAAAACTGTGAGATAATAAATTTGTGTTCTTTTAAGCAACTACGTTTATGGTAATTCGTTAGAACATCAATAGGAAACAAATACAGCAAGTAATAAACATGCTAGTGCTTTCTATTGTTGACAGAATAAAATTCAAATTTTTAAAAAAAAAAAAAAAATAGAGACAACCTAACTCCATACTCAATTTACCCAGGCAAGAGATTCTTATCAATACTTCAGAGTGCAATGACTTATTCTTTCCTTTAAGGAAGCTGGTAAAAACGGTAAAAAAAAATGAAGTTTCTAGACATGGGTCTACAGATATGGTACCAGCCACCACTCCATTCAGTATCATCTCTTTACTTCATCTTTACTTCTGTAAAGTATCATCTCCTCATTGTCTTTACTTCATCTACTTCTGTACCAAGTCAGCTGACTTGTAGGCTGTTGACTCAAGCATCTCAATGTAAAATCAGGTCTGGTCTGATTCACCAATAGGAACTTTGTGTGTGTTGGTCTTATTACTCCCAAACTACTAAGAGAAAGGAAACCCAAATGTCTTGTGTCTAGTCAGCCAAAGAAATTGAATAAACTGTTCTCGGTTAAGTTTACAGAGACTCCGCTATCTATTTATGTGTCACACACAAAATAAACAGAAAAGATAAAGATGTATTTGTAACTACTGATACATACAGATTGTTGTGAAAACTAAGGAAAAACAAATGTATATATATTCTATCATCGTTTGGCTCACTGTAATGTGTCTGGATACCTGGACCAGTGAAGTGCAGGTTTTCATAATTTTTGTATGGTACCCACATCCTTCATATTTACAAACATTGGTAAGTATTCCCTTCCTTTAGCAAATGCAAATTGTTTTTTAAAAAAGTATTTATCCATTGGACACACAGAGAGAGAGAGAGAGACAGAGAGAGACAGAGAGACAGAGAGAAAGAGAGAACACAAGCAGGAGGAGTGGCAGAGGGAGAGGGAGAAGCAGGCTCCCTACTGAGCAGGGAGCCCGATGCGGGACTCGATCCCAGGACCCTGAGATCATGACCTGAGCCAAAGGCAGACGCTTAACCGACGGAGCCACCCAGGCGCCCTGCAAATGCAAAATCTTACAATTCTCATTTATAAAACAGATGAATTAGGACATTGCCTTAATATTAAGGCATATGCCTCCCTC